CTTTTCTGTATAATCTGTATATAGCTTCCATATTTATTTAATTTTATAGCCTCTTCCAATTACTCTCTGTTTATATAAACCATTTATAGTCCATACATACATATTCCCTGTAAATAAATATTTATATCCTGTAGAGCACTTCAGGATAGATGCAGACCACATTTATTTAATCTGTACTTGTGACAGAGTAAAGACATTAAAGTTGAATCTATTCTATTATTAAATATTTTACATGTCAGAATTGGACAGTTTGAACCAAACACTGAGCAGGAAAATGCACTGCCATGTACTGCCACCTGCTGGTCACTTAGGGTCACTGACAGTGCTCCCAGCATGAGGCTCCACCGCAAACAACAACAATAATAATAACAGGTTCAATGTGACACCAAAGGAACATGATATATATGCAACTTTATGTCCTTTACTCTGAATATTTTATATTAAATAAGCCTTAGATAAAATACTCAAAGGATAAAACAAGCAAACCTAAATCTACATTCAAATATTTGAAATAATATTAAACTAATATTTACATGTATTGATAATTTTATATAATTCAGTTTCTTTCTTATGTTTATTTTTTAGACTGACTGCAGAATTAAATCCATTTTTGGGACTTTGTAGAAAAACCTGATAAACTCAGAACGATGGGGGAACAGAGGCGGTGCTGAAAGGAGCAGCTATGGTTGTTCTCCTCAGATGGAGCAGAGCAGCGACTCTCTGCCAGGATGGAGGATTCAGCTCAGAGTCGCTTTATGTTTTAGAAAGTACTCCCCGTCTCTTTCACTGGAGGCTGTAATGTTTGTTCGTGGTTAGTAATACGGTTTAAAATATATTATCATGTTGGAATCATGTGACCTTTTACCTAACAGGATTTTTTTTCTATTATTTTTTTATTACAATACTAATTATTAAAAAATATTTTAAATCCTTCAATCAAAACAGCAACATCTGTTCATCAAACATTTAGTTCCAAAGAGAGGGAAAAATAAAAGGTTTCACTAGAATTAAATCACAAATCGACTTTCTGTCCACATATTTTTCTATTGGTCTGCAACACCATTAGAGACCAACAGGGGGCGCTTCTCCTGCACAGAACATTCTGTCTGTGTGACCCACTGATCTATATTCAGACTAAGAGACTTAGGCAACTCTTATTGTCATTTTTTATACACAGAGTGTATATAAAACCAAATCTCGTTTAGCACAGCTTTCCAGACAGAAAATTAACTTTTTTCATTCCATAAACTTCAGCAGTGATCAAATGGAAACACTGGGAGAAAAACGCATAGATCTAGAAGTTCAGAGCATTAATATCTATGGTGCAATTATGCAATGTTGTTGGTATGGTGTTATCAGTGTGATGGTGGTGGGGAAGAAGCTGCTGCAGAACCTGCTGGTCCTGCATTGAACGCTGGGAAACCTCTTCCCAGAG